ATAATACATCCGAGGGGGCGGGGAGGCAACAGTTATTATCTCTAAAGTGTTGTAGGCTGCATTGCAGAGCCTGGAGTTTTAACTTCTCAGCAAATGAGTTTATTTCAGAAAGATGTTTCTAGCTCCAGTGCAGAGAATAAATAGATGTAAGGAAAATCAGATCCCTTAAGATGGATATTACTCATTTAATAACTGTAATACAACAGACAGCATGGATAGCAATGTCAGCCAAGTGGTAGTGCCTAAGCCTTGAGTTTGAAAAAATAAAGTAGTGCATAATTTTGCAAGACTTGGATGTGGCTGGAAGTAGGGGGTGAAAAATAGAGCTCAGAAAAGTTCCACATTTCCAACTTGAGTGACTGACTATTGGGAAACAGAATGAGTGTATTGAGGTCTGGGGAAAGAACTGTATACTGGACAAGTAGAATAAGTAGTCTTATGGAATACCCATGAGAACCCATGTTACACACAACTGAATATTGGATTCTCCTCTTCATGAAGAAATGCAATCAGACTTCTCTGATACTGTTGGCTACTGTACATGATGTCATGGCAAGGCAGCATACTTTAAGGGGAAATATTGTGCACAGTGGGAGATGCTAGTCTTCATGAAAAACTCTTTGAGGATTTTTCTGTGTCGTCTCATGGTTCCCAAAGGAAAGGTTATATTTCAGTCTCTGTCTAGATCAGTTTTTAAAGGGATCTATTAAAGTGATCTTTTCATCATTCACTTAGGTTTAAATCACAAACACATTGAAAGTAAAAACAGTGACTTAGAAGAAAATAATCAGATAACAAACATATATAGATTGAGTGAGACAGATCCTATGTGAGTTTATGTCATTTCCAGGCAAGAGTCAGTAAAAACAATAGAATGAATTCTTGGCTACCACCACAGCTTTGAAAATGCTGTCTCACATTAATATTTCTTCTGATAATTGAAACCTTAGATATGTTTATAGTTGTGGAACCAAGGTAGACCAGTGTGACTCTAGAAAATTCTTCCAATCTAGTGTCTAATTTTAATGTAAACATATAAAATAATAGCATTTATAATGCTTTAACCTAATTTATTGAAGTATGAATGATAAAATTCAATCATTCAACACATACTTGATGAACAATGGTTTTCAGGCCTTGTTTTAGCTACTTAGCTTCAAGAGGAACAGACAAAATCTCTGGTGTTGGTTCATTCTCAGAGGAGACATACTGTAAATACACAAACATTTCAATATGCCAGGTAGAAGTACGGGCTACAGAAAAATAAAACTGAGTGAATAGGAAAAGAATGAAGCTGGAAGTCACACCATTTTGTAAAAAATGTTCAACGGATCTAAAATATCAGCATCTAAGTTTTAAAAAAATGCATAGATTTGCATTAATGTAAAATTTGCCAACCTGGAAAATTCCTCCATGCATTGTTAAACTTTAGTTTTAGAAATATATTTCAAGTTCTTGAAGGCCCTTAGTATTTATTTTCATTAATTACATATCTTTTCATCTTCAGATATAAAATGTATATGAGAACACATATGTATATGTGCATATATGATTCATATAAAATATGAAATAATACATATCTTTTATGTGTATAATATATGCATGCACACATATGTGTACAGGTATAATGAAATGCATGTGCCATAATATAAAAATAGAATAATGCATGTATAAAATAATGTATAGATTGTTCCATACATTAAAAAATTGGGTTCATAGGTAAATATCTAAAATGCAGCAACCTAGTGCTTATTAGTGTGAATAATTCCTTGTGGTTGAGATTCATATCCTATGCTCAGTACTTCTGCATGAGATAATTTCTTTTTCACAGTAAATATATATCATACTTTTGGTAAAAGAATTTTAACATATATAAAATCTTACACAATAGATATTGCTCCAAAATATCCACATTCACAAGGAAAAGACTAATAATAAAATTTTTCACAGGTAAAAGGCTTGCTCTACTGTGACGGTTTAATGAGTTAAGCATATTTCCACCACTCTGAGTTATTGTTAGAAACAAAATTGTGGAAATACTGTGATTTTGCATTCACTTCTTGACTAGCTATTATTGTTGCTTAAACAACTCAACCACCCATATTTAATCTCCGCATAAGAAACTTAATTCTAAGGAGTGATAAATAATCAGGATAGTGGAAGGAAAAAGTGAATTGTCCTAAAGTAAGCCCACCATATTATTAGATGTCAAGGGAAATTTTAATGTAGTTTTGTAGGAACTAAACTCTGATGGATGTTATTAACACTGTTTGTTACAATAGCCCGATGCTCTTAAAAGTGTATAGTATGTGTTTAGTATGTGTTTAAGTTCAAATTACATAATACAAATTTTAAGGAATTTTATAATTTTCACCGGATCTGAGCTCATATAAGCAGAGAGCACCCTGACATTTTTGAAGCATTTAACTTGTCAAAGAACAACTTTGGCTTTGCAATGGGGGAATCTGCTTTTATAAGCAGAGTGCTTGATAAATTTCATGTCATCCACTACAGACTGACCTCTGGCGACATGAGAGTTGGTCCAATAAACAGTTTTCCTTCATGTTTGTATTAATAGCTTAGGACTGTCTGAGAAAATAAGCCATATCATCCTTGCTGTCCCATTTTTCTTTGCATCAATATTTGCATAAATCTCTATTCTGTACTTGGAATTGAATCCATATTTTTATTTAGGAGAAAATGCAAGTGCAGTCATTCCTTTTCTCTAAACTCCAGGAATACTTATTTCCTGAGAGAAGTATTTTATGTCAATTAATATATACTGACAGTGTATAAAATAATGGTGTGTCTATTACTCAACTGTCACTGATAGAAACTTGATGGCAAATTACTTTCCAAAGGGTCAGAACTGACTCCCTGCTGTTTTTGTTTATTCACTTTTCAAGACAAAAAGGAATTTCTGCCAACTGCTGGATTATAAATTTAGCCTCACCTCTCAAAATGAGATGCCATTTTCTCTCTCCTCTATCTCTCATCATGGATGATAAAGATATTGCCTTTGGAATTCAGCTATGACTACACAGATGATTAAGCTAAAGTCTAATTGGCTTTGCAATGTTAGCAGAAGCCAAAATTTAATGGTTAGTTCCCCCAACCTGTATTGAAATAAACCTCTGTGATTCACAGTCTCAGAAGTCTGTTGATTAAGGAAAGCTTTGTGTGCAGTAAAGAACAGATTGTAGGAAAACTAGAAAGTTCAAAGTCAACTTTTGCTTTCTGAACTTGTTACTGTATAATGCAACACCATCCACTGTATCATTTAAAAGGATCCATATTTGAGATGTCAGATACATATTTTAAAGCATGTGAAAGCCTTTTTTGATTTGAAAGGAAAGCATAGATTTGAGGTCATGGAGGAAGTAACTGAACTGACAACAATTCACTTTGCAGAATTAAGAGTAAAAGCTTGAGAAGGCCCGTAGTGCCCAGGCCAAAGAGGATGTGGCCATGGCAGCCCTGTATCTCTCCTGCCATAGCTCCAAAGAACCGGCTGTGGAATGCTCTGCTAACCAGGCAAACCACAGTGCTCTCGGTGCTGATTGAAGTAAACCAATGCCAGAGCACCAGGACACGAAATGAGAAAATACTTCTCTGACAAGCCTTAAACTTGCTATGATTGTTCTCCAATGTTTCCTCATGGAGATTGTCAGGCAGACTTTGCTCAGAACTGAGAGGCTGGTTTTTTTTTTTTTTCCATACTTGTAATTCTAAAGTAACTAGAGTTGTGTGCTTTGACTAAATTTTCCATGACTTCAAAATTAAAGAAAACAAGTGAAATTTTGACAACATTCTAATGATATATATCTAAAAATGGTTACTAAGCTTCTATTTGGGTAAATATTTAATCTGAATGATTACAAATCCCCTGTGAACCATTCCATGAGGTAGGAAGCCATTGGCCAATAGTGCATAATAAATACCATCATCTCATTTGCTATTTCTGATGTGAATTAATAGCAGTGATGAGACCCACCCAAACAATTACCTACTTTTGAGAACGGCAAAGACTGTCCATAGTTCTAAAGAGCTTATATACTTCCATTATTTTAAAGTAATCTTCAAAATTCAAATTAGAGCTCATGGGTCATAATATGACTATGTACTTTTGTCTAACTCAGTTTGGGAAGGTGAGGATCTGTGTCCGTTGTAATCAAAAACATTCTGCAGTCAAAGTATGAGGAAGTAATGAAGAATTTGAGACAAAGATAATGCTTAAGAGCAAATATTATGATATGTCTCAAAGTTCAATTAGTTATACATGTTGAATATTATAAAAAACTTACTAAAAATGTGGAATATGGAAACCATTGAAAAATGAGTATACCATCCAAAACTCCACTTGGAGTTCCTAGATTCTTAGAAAGAAGGGGGATTTTTTTTTTCAGTACTGGGCATCATACCTAGGGTCTTCCCACTGACCTACATCCCCAGTTCTTTCTATCCTATTTTTAAGCAGAATTGAAAGTCACTAAGTTGTGCAAGTTGGGCTTGAACTTGCAGTCATCCTCCCTGAACCTCCCAGAAGGCTGGAATTACACGCATGTATTGCCGCACTCATTTTAAAAAGGGGAAATATTGAAGTAAAACATATCTATAAACCATTAAGCAATACCTTCCTTAGGAAACAAATAATCAAATCTTGTAATCTCTTAGAGCTTTTCTGGACTAAACTTTCGATTCCAAAGTTAAAATTTGAAGTATATTAATTAACCTATTAATTGAGTTTACATTATTAATAATGATGAAATAAAATTTTATATTGGAAGAGACATTTATGATCATTCTTTGTTAGCAATCCCTATAAAATCTACTTTAGGACACTTAGTAAAACAAAAAGCTGAATAGCATAAGAATGAAGGACTCTAGATTCCTCAGGAAACACATCTTTAATTCCCATTTCTTCCATGTAGCTATCCACTGGAGTGGGTGGGAACGCAGAACGACTAAATTAACAAGGTGTTTCTTTCTTCTTCTTTTAGGGGCCGATGTTATCAACTTTGATGGCCATGTCGTGTTGCCGTATAGATTCAGAAACAAGAAGATGAAAACCCTGAAGGACGTCGTCTCCCTGAAATTTAAAACCTCGGAGAGTGAAGGGGTGCTCCTGCACGGGGAGGGGCAGCAAGGAGACTACATCACGCTGGAACTGCAGAAAGCCAAGCTGGTCCTCAGTTTGAACCTAGGTTTGTTCTGACCCACCACATCATTCTTTCCCTTTGTTCATATTCCCACTAGGAAAACATTAGATTAATCATTCAAAATGTAAATTGTAAATATAAGTCACCTTATGTTGTCAATTCATTCTTCACCCTTGGAAGCTGGTGTATACGGGTACACTACTTCCTTCACAAATATTTGTTAAACGCTTGTCATAGGCAAGGTGTCCATACCAGTCTGGAGCATACATGAGGGAACAGACAGACAAGGTGCTTCAGCTCATGAAGCATATGACCTAGTGCAGGAGTTAGATACTATATTAGATGTTCTTATATTTTAAAATAAATGATTTCAAATAATAAGTGTGATGAAATCAGTAAAGCAGGTTAATAAGATCATGGGCATAGGTTCACATACCCCCTTCCAAAGCAATCCAATATTAGAAAAGTCTTCTAGAAGCTGAAAAATCAGTATTGAGGCTGAAAACTCTTGGTGATCAATTAATTAAACAAACCCTAATAGCATGAAGTAGAATAGCACCTTAGTGGAAGGTACCAATGCTGCTGGGATATTGCAGGTATAGTAAAGAGTCAACATCTTATTTTAAGAATATGTGGATCCAGTGCAGATTTAAACTACATGGTGATCTTACTTTTAGTAGTGGACTGAGACTTCTGTAGGGAGAATTGCTTCTGTGAGCATGAGAGTCAAAGCAAGACCCATGGAGATCAGGAGAGACAAGGTCGGACTTGCATTAGATGGTTATCAGTGGAGATGCAGAGGAATGTATCTATTAAGGAAATTATCTTAGGGGGAAAATTCAGCATGACTTGTGATGAATTGGAGATGACATAAAACAAAAGCATAGAAACAAACAATTGCTAAAATTTGGGCTTGAACACCAAATGGATATTCATGTCATTTGCAGAAGTAGAAAAACTTCAGAAGGAACTTAGATTTGTTTGAAGATGGAGCATTTGACTTGCCTATGGCATATCTCAATAGAAGTTTCTTTTCTAGAATTGTATATGTGAGGCTGATAAGAGAAGACACTTGCATGAACTCCAAGAAGTAGACAGTGAGGAGAGGGAAATAAAGACTGTGTAGTATCACACAGACCAAGGAAAGGAAAGAAGTGACCATTGCTGTTAAATTCATTTAAATGTCATACGAGGTGAAGATGGAGACGTGAATGTTGGCTTTGATGACATGGAGGGTAGTGTTAATTTACTCTCTATGGAAGAAGAGGAAAGATAGCTTTATTGACTTCTTTTATAGGTAAAGAAAGGGTGAAATGTTGTGGAAGTAAATCTTTTGAATATAGTCAAAATACAAATGAAGGAAGCAGAGAAATGAAACACTAGCCAGGGAAAAGGTGACTCAGAGGAGTTATTGTTTTGAGTATTATTGCTTTTAAGTAGCAAATACCAATGCATGTCCACATGTTAACAAGGGAGCTGGTATTTACTTGAAGCTAAGAACAAGCTCCACAACATTTGTACTGGCCCTCAAAATTACAGTCCATGCAGAGAAATGATCTCCCTCTTGTTTGGCTAAAAAGTCCAGGCTCCAAGGATTCTTTCAAGGCATCATATGTTCCCTAAAATTTTTCTGTTGTAATGAAATAAAAATTCCACAAACGTTTTACACTATGAAATATACAAATATCTCAAATTCACAGGTTGAAATCATCAAAATAGAAAGCTACAAAACTGAAATATCAGAGTGTCAGAAGGCCCTGCCTCTTTGATTTCCTAACCAGTTACCAGCTTGAGTGTCCAGACATTTCTCATTATGGCTTATAGCTATTAACTTTTATTACTTTGAAATTCAGCATAGTATCAAAAATGTAACTTTAGTTTTAGGTAGGTAATAACTATTTTAAACATGGACCCTTTGAAAAATAGAACGTTTCACAATATAAATCTGATTTGCTAAAAGTAATGGCTTCTGAAAAAAAAAGGAAAAAGATCACACAAAATGTTCTGGATCACTTAATTACATTAAACACTAAGTGCTTACCAATTAAATAATCAAGATTCATGTGAACTCAGAAGAATGTAAATGTCAAATACAGACGGTTAATATCACTCATTATTAAGAGACTTTGCTACTCCACAAACCACCAAAATATTAGGAGAAAATGTAGGCATTAGATACAAAAGATAACTCATTTAAAATATATATAAACAATAAATATATGTATATATATAAACATTCTGTAAACACCAAATGTTTAACCACACTATCTCAAAAAGAAAAGCACAACAAAATAATGAGATATTAATTTTTGTCATAAAAGAAACATACCAGTGTTGCTGTGTACATAATGAAAAGATTGTTTCACTGCTCTGTAATTAAGAAAACTTCCTCAGGAAAACAATTTGACAATGTACCTTTAAACATTTAGAATAGAAATATACATTTGGTGTAGTAATCCTAAGAAATAATTACAATGACCACAAATTATTTAACTTCAATGATGTACTTTAGCGATGTCAATGACAAGGTCAAAATCTGGGGAAAAAGTTTTGTATAGAAATATATGATAAAGGCATTTAAAATGGCTGTGCTAATTTGAAATTTTATGGGCAAGGAGTATACTATATTAAGATAAAATTATCAGGTATGAAATATATATAATATGATATTAATTGCTTCATAATAAATATATACACAATAATAATCTGGGCACATATGAAATATTTTTGTTCAAGTGTATAATTCTAGAAAGAATTAAGCCTGTGATACAAGGTTCCACGTTACATACATTTTTAATCATTGATACTTATCTATATATAGATAATTTGAAATGTATGTGCATTTTAATTATATATACTTATAATTTAAAGTATCTGTAGGAAAACACCTGGAAGAAAGTAGGCTGAAGTATTTTTAGTGGTGCAAATTTTTTTTATCTTGTTTCACTTTTTGATTCTTTATAATGTTCTCTACATGCAATAATAAATGAACCTGTATATGTTGCGCTACTTGGGGGAAATAGCTTAAAATAAATTTTAAGCAAGGTCCGGTAGAAAGAAAAAGGAAGGGATTACAGGAAAGGAACCAGAACCAAAATATAAATATTTTGGTAAAATATATGCTTTAATGAGCACATGTACCTGCCCCCCCAACATAGAGCAGTTGTATTATATCTGAAGATGCTTATTTTTTCAGGTTTGTTTTTCTCCCAGATGAAATTCCTGGAGTAACCTTTAAAATCAACTGTGGTTTATTACAGCTCTGTGACATTACCTTTCAGAAACAAGTAACTGGTATATAACTTCACAAAAAAAGCTCACCACCCTTTCACTAGAAAGTAGTTTACTCCCGGAGTTTTATTGACTCCCAGGAATACATGACAGCCACAGAAATGCACACACTCAGAGAGCTCCAGCCCCTCTCTAACGCCAATGAATCTATACCAGCTGTCTTCCTGCTGTAGTCTTCTCCTGTAGGTATTGACTGGAATAAACAAGGAACCCTTGTCCTTAACTTCCTTTTCTTCTCCTATCCCCTCCCCTCGGTCTCCCTTGCTCCACACACACCCTGAATCAGCACCACACCTCAGCATTCGATTCCACCACACGGGAGAAGAATCAGTGACCCTTCTCACCAGGTCCTCCAGCTCCCGAGCCTGTGTGACACTGATTTCCTAAGGAGTCACCAAAATCTAGCAGAATTTATGGCACAGTAAAAATTAAAAAAAAAAAAAAAAAAAAAAAAAAAAAAAAAAAAAAAAACCTCACGTTTTGTTGTTAAAGAGAGATTTTTTTGTTTTTGTCTTATT